ATGGATAAGAAAGCATGACCCACACATATGCTGCCTACAAGAGACCCACCTCAGGACAAAAGACCTACACAGACTCAAAGTAAAGGGCTGGAAACAAATTTTCTAAGCAAATGGACATGAAAAAAGAGCCAGGGTAGCAATACTCATATCAGACAAAATAGACTTCAAAAAAAGGGCCATAAGGAGAGACCCAGAAGATCACTTCATAATACTCAAGGGAAGAATCCGTCAAGAAGACATAAACATTGTAAATACATATGCACCCAACATAGAAGTACCCAAATATATACAAAAAAATCTTAAAAGACTTCAAGAAAGATATTGACAGCAACACAATTATACTAAGGGGTTTTAACCCCTCATTGTGAAAAATGGACAGATCTTCCAAACAAAATATCAACAAAGATATTGCAGCACTGAACCATGTCCTAGATCAAATGAACTTAATTGATATATATAGAGCCTTTAATCCCAAAGAAGCTAAATACACATTCTTCTCAAATGCACATGGAACATTTTCCAAGATAAACCACATGATAGGACACAAAACAAGCCTCAACAAATGCAAGAAAACTAAGATTATATCAAGCATTTTCTCCGACTATAAGGGGCTGAAACTAGAAAAAACCTCAAGGAAAAAACTCAAAACACTCAAACTCATAGAAATTGAATAGCATGCTATTAAACAATGAATGGGTCAAGAATGAGATCAAGGAAGAAATCAAAAAGTTTGTGGAAACAAATGAAAATGAACTCACAACAATCCAAAACTTATGGGACACAGCAAAGGCAGTCCTGAGAGGGGAGTTCATAGCAATAAAGCCTACTTAAAAAAGATAGAAACATTTCAAATAAATAACCTAACCCTACATCTCCAAGAACTGGAGGAACAACAACAATGACAGCCCAGAGCAAGTAGACAGAAGGAAATAACCCAGATTTGAGCAGAATTAAATGACATAGAGACTAAAAGCACAATTCTAAGGATCAATGAATCCAGAAGTTGGTTCTTTGAAAACATGAACAAAATAGACAAGCCTTTAAGTAGGCTCATCAAGAAAAGAAAAGGACACAAATAAACACAATCAGAAATGAAAGAGGAGAGATTACAACAGATACCACAGAAATACAAAGGATTGTAACAAATTACTATGAAGAACTATATGCCAAAAAATGTGAAAACCTAGGTGAAATGGACAAATTTCTAGAAAAATATAATCTTCCAAAACTCAATGAAGAAGAAGCAGAAAGACTGAACAGACCAATGACAGTAGATGAAATTGAAGTAGTAATAAAAAAAACTCCTGTCACACAAAAGCCCTGGACCAGATGGTTTCACAGGAGAATTCTACAAAGCATTTAAGGAAGAGCTAACCCCTATCCTTCACATAACTATTCCAAAAAATCCAAAATGATGGAAGACTCCAAAACTCTTTTTATGAAGCCAACATAATCCTAATCTCAAAACCAGATAAAAGACACAACAAAGAAAGAAAACATCAGGCCAATATTGCTTATTAGATACTGAAATCCTCAACAAAATATTGGCAAACCACATTCAACAATACATTAAAAAGATCATACACCATGACCAAGTGGCATTCATGCCAGGGATGTAAGGATGGTCAATATTTGTAACTCAGTAAATGTAATACACCACATAAACAAAAGACAAAAAACACATGATCATATCAACATATGCAGAAAAAGCATTTGATAAGGTACAGCACCCATTTATGATAAAAACACTCAGCAAAGTGGGAATAGAGGGAGTATTCCTCAACATAATAAAGGCCATATATGAGAGACCTACAGCCAACATCATACTCAATAGGCAAAAACTAAAAGCTTTTCCACTATGATGAGTAACAAGACAAGGTTGTCCACTTTCACCACTTCTATTCAATATAGTATTGGAAGTTTTAGCCACATCAGTCAGACAAGGAAAGGAAATAAAAGGCATCCAAATTGGAAAGGAGGAAACAAAACTGTCATTGTTTGCAAATGGCATGATAGTGTACATGGAAAATCCTATAGACTCTACCCAAAAACTGCTCAACCTAATAAATGAATTTGGAAAAACAGCAGGATATAAAGTCAACATCCAGAAACCAAAGGTGTTTTTGTATACTAACAATGAAACAGGAGAAACAGAAATCAAGGGAAAAAGCCCATTCGATATAGCAAAAACAAAAATAAAATACCTAGGAATAAACCTAACCAAGGAGGTAAAAGACCTGTATACAGAAAACTACACAGCACTGAAGAAAGAAAGCAAAGAATCAAGAAACAAGCAAATGGAAACATATATCGTGTTCACAGATTGGAAGAATTAACATCATAAAATGTCTATACTACCCAAAGCAACTTACAGACTCAATGTAATACCCAGTAAAGTACCAAAGGCATATTTCACAGACATAGAACAAACACCTTAAAAATGTATATGGAACCAGAAACGACCCCAAATAGCTGCTGCAATTTTGAGAAAGAAGAGCAAAGCAGGAGGGATCACAATACCTGATACCAGACTGTATTACAAGGCCACTGTAATCAAAACAGCCTGGTACTGGCATAAGAACAGACACATAGACCAATGGAACAGAACAGAGTGCCCAGAAATAAACCCAAGTCTCTATGGGCAATTAATATTCAACAAATGGGGCAGTAAGGTAAAATGGGGGAGTAAAAATAGCCTCTTCAACAAATGGTGTTGGGAGAACTGAACAGCTAGGTGCAAAAAGATGAAACTCAAGCAACAATGTACACCATATACCAAAATAAATTCAAGGTGGATAAAAACTTAAATATAAGCCATGACACCATTAAAGTCCTAGAGGAGAACATAGGCAGGAAAATCTCAAATATTTCATACAGCAACATTTTTACTGATATGTCCCCTAAAGCAAGGGACATAAAGAAAAGAATAAACAAATGGGATCTCATCAAAATAAAAAGCTTTTGCACGGCTAAAGAAAACAGTATTAAAATAAAAAGAGAACCAACTGTATGGGAAAACATATTTGCCAATGACACCTCAGACAAGGGTTTAATCTCCAAAATATATAAAGAATTTACAGGAGTCCACTCTAGGAAGACAAGCAACCCAATTAAAAATGGGCAAAGGACTTAAACAGACACTTCTCTGAGGAGGACATACAGAGGATTCAGAGACACATAAAAAGATGCTCAATATTACTAGCTATCAGAGAGATGCAAATTAAAACCACAATGAGATACCACTTCACACAAGTCAGAATGGCCATCACAAACAAAGCAACAAACAATAACTGTTGGAGAGGTTATGGTTGTTTCCAGTGCACTGTTGGTGGGACTGCAGACTGGTACAACCACTATGAAAAACAGTATGGAATTTTCTACAAAAACTAAAAATGGATCTGGCTTTTGACCCGGCAATTCCACTGCTAGAATTATACCCTAAGAACCCTGAAACACCAATCCAGAATAACCTATGCACCCTAATGTTCATAGCAGCACAATTTACAATAGGCAAGTGCTGGAAACAACCTAGGTGGCCATCAGTAAATGAATGGATCCAAAAACTATGGTACATTTACACAATGGAATTCTATGCAGCAGAAAGAAAGGAAGAAGGAGCTCCTACCCTTTGCAACAGCATGGATAGAACTAGAAAGCATTATGCTAAGCGAAATAAGCCATGGAGTGAAAGACAAATACCATATGATCTCACCTTTAACAGTAAGCTGAACAAAACAAATAATCAAGCAAAATAGAACCGAAGACACTGAAATAGAGAACAGGCTGACAGTATCCAGAGGAGAGAAGGGAGGGAATTTCAGGGGAAAAGGGGAAGGGTTCATAGGAACAAGTATAAAAGATACAAGGACAAAAACTAGGCGGGGTAGAAATGGGAGGGAGTTGGGGAGGGCTGGGTGGGTGGGCTGGGATGGGAGTAAAAGACAGAAATCTATACTTGAACAACAATTAAAATTAAAAAAATGTTAAAGCCTATAATACAACATAGCTCTTAATAATGAAACTATATAATTTATCTTTTTATCATGCAATGTACTGTTACTCTTCAATGGTTTTAGATGCTTAATTTTATCACTCCAAAAGTAAATGACACTCCCCATTGTAGCCTATACATCATAAATTTTCTGGTATGTCCACAGAGCTCATGAAGACAATCAAAGCATCTAATAAATTCATGACTGACCTCAGCTGCCAGAGAACCCAAAAAGTATTCTCTATTACTTTAGAAACTATTAACTATCAATTGGAATGTAATGAATCAATAAAACACACTATTAATATTAGAACAGTATTTTAGCACTTAAAAAACTAGAAATCTTTCCAAACTATAAACCTCAATAACTAAAGTGATTGTTCCATTGTAAACTAATTAGTATTGTCAAAGTAACGCTAAGGAGTAACAGTGCTCTTAATATCCTTTAAAATTTTTTATTGATTTTATAGAGAAAGGAAAAGAGAGAGAGACAGAGAGAGAGAGAGAGAGAGAGAGAGAGACCAATTTGTTGTTCTACTTATTTATGCATTCATTAGCTGATTCTTGTATGTGCCCTGACTGGAGACAGAACCTGTGACCTTGGCGTATCAGAAGGATGAGCTAACCAACTGAGCTACCCAGCCAGGTCTTAATGTCCTTTTTTTTTTTTCCATGTATTTTTTCTTTTTTTTTTTTTTATATTAAATTTTATTTAGTTACTTTTCAAGTACATTTTTTTAAATCTATTTCTCCCATCCCACCCCACCCCCCCAGTCTCCCCCCTCCCTCCCATCCCCCCCCAGTCCTCATCTCTGTGTCTTTCATAGTTGTTCCTCAAAATTAATGTCCTTTTTAAAGAGAAAAGTATATTACCCAATAACCTGATATTCTAATTATGATGCTTTAAAAATATTCAGTTTCAGAAAATTATGTGTTGAAATAATTCCCTTAAAGAAACATTCTTATTGTATGTGAAAGCTGTAAAAACAGCAGTTATGACTGGACTTACCATTCTTTGTCAAGTACTCCACTATGTTCCCCACTACAGCTGGAATGCCGTTCTCACTGAGTCCCTGCTGTTGAAGGTCTTGGAGACTGACGCCGAACAACTTTGTATAAGTAGGACTCCTCTGCTCAATTAGTGGCACTGCCACCATATTTTTCATATCTTCTTTCAGCCGAACTGTTGCTTTACTTTGCTTAAAAGAGCATAAGAAGAAAGAGCAGTCAGTCATCTTTACCACAGGTGGTTGCATGGTTACAGCAGAAACATCTGAATTAAAAGTAAGTTTTGAAAACATATAGTAGTATTCTTCACTTATTTTTACTCCAACTTAAAATCTGTAACATCTCTCACGTGTGGCTCAGTTTTAGGAATGGCGCAACTGATGTGATGATTAAAAGAAGTGAAAATAATGAGAAACCTAAAACTACAACTTAACTGTAGCTGAGAGAGAGAGCAATACACTGCAGTATCTAAGATATCACTACAGCAACCAAGGGGTGTGACTCAGAAGTACCTGGTTAAAAAGAAAAGAAAACATACGAACACTGAAGCTTCATGCAGATCCAGATCTTGAAACAATAAGAGGTTTTGAAAGACAAAAGTTTATCTAGATGTCATTTTAAGGTAGCTTTAATTTGAAATTTCATAAATATAAGAACATATATAAGGATATATACTTATATAAGTGTACAATATATATTTATTTTCTCTTATTTGATTACCATACATCTGTGAATGTCTCAGGTATTTTAAGGAACATCAATTCAATTCCCTTTGAGATTTCACAATGCCTTATCTCTGAAAGAGCATCATTTCAGTTAGTCACAATTTTGGAAATTTCAAAAGACTGTACATATTATGAACAGAAAATGCAACTTACATTCACTTAATTCAAGTAATCAACACAATAAAATATTCATATAATTTCATTTTCAATAAAATTTTGTCCAAGGAAATATTATAAAATATAAATTTTAATATGGCTTAATATAACTGAGTGATTTATAAAAAGTCTATATATCTATAAGTCTAAACACTGAAAAGATGATAAAATGCAAAAATTTTATATTTGGGAGCAGAGATAGCAGATTGGAGGAAACTCACTTTTTAAGCATAAATGGAGCAACTAACTAAAGTATAAATATTTTAAGTGGAAACTCATGGAGCTGTTATAATCTAAAAGTAGAAATATTACTTCCATTTTAGAGTTAAGGAAACAAAGATCAGAGTGTTAAGTAATTTGGTAAAAGTTACAGAACTAGTAAATTTCATCCTATTCTAAGTCCATTTTCCTCTCCCTAATTAGGCTTTATATTAATGTTATAGAGCAGCAGTTTGTGTCTAATTATAGCAGCTAACTATGGTAAATGCTATAGTGACCCAAGACAATTATACAAAGTTAATTCTACAATCCTGATTTTGAGATGGGTCCTTATAATCTCAATTTGATTCTGAATTTTATAATCTGCAGAATCAGACCAACTTTCCTTGAAATATGTGCATCTTTTACAGGTCTTATTTGAAAGCCAGATTTCCCCAGTGAAAATTCAACAAATGTAAAGTTACAATTCAGATTTAGTATTTATTAATATTATAGACATGAGATAGTGTTAACAACTGTAGAGCGGTAGTATGAGCAAGAACTGTGATCTCAGTTATTAAGGAAATTATGGATTTATTAATTGAGTCAAATGCATAACAGCTAATAATATTTTCTTGTGGGCTTAAAAATACATCAATCTCCTTCAACTGATACGTGAGAAATTTTACTCAACCCGGTATATCTGGTGAGAGTAAGCACCCAGAAAGTAACTAGTATTAATGAAATTCTGAATATTAGTCTGAAATTGAGCATTAAAGACAGCTGACAGTGAGATTAAGTTATACGAATTTTATCTTACTTCCATTTATCTTAGTGGTCCAGACCAGGGACTGTGGAACAAGGTTCCCTATTCTGAATCCTATTCTGGTCCAATTAGCTGTGAACCTTAAACAAGTCACTTAAGCTCTGTGTGCTTGTTTCCCCATCTGTGAGATGGAGATGCCAAGAGTTCCTATCTCAAAGTATGTAAGAGGCTGCAATGAGTTCGTGCATAAGACTGAGAACAATGCGTAGCACTCAGTAAGTACTGATGGTCATTGTTACTGTTATCATCCTCCTCCTCCTCCTTGTCATCCTTTTTCCTTCAGGAAAATATTCTGATTTCTTCTTAAAAATATAGAGAAAAACTTAACCATTCTTATACTCAATGTTTGACTGCAGGTTGCTGTTTAAGAAGGCATCATGGTGGAGACATATTCGGTTAGTAGTAAGTCTGATGACCTACTTATTCTCTATAAATCTCTAAATCTCCTAAATATGTAAGTATGATTTTAGAGTGATAAAGATAAAATAATTTTGTACATAAGTATCAGAATTCCTCAAGATTTTATTAGAAATGTTAAAGGTTTTCTTAGGAATCCTGTCTATATTTGAGTCTAAAACCTTGAATTAATGTTCTTTCTATTAAGAGCCCCTGCTCTTCATTTGCTTAGTCAGAATTGCAGACAGTAAATTTTGTCTCCTGTTAAGAGAGAGTGTAAATAAGCAATCTTGTTGGCATCATGGCTTAGAAAGTTTTCAAGTAAGAGATATGCAATTAACTTCACATATTTTGAAGTGACTGCCAATTAAACTACCTATTTACTCTATTTGAGTCATACTACATAGTACATTTATATGTAATCATAGTAATAAAGAAGCATCTAACTATTGTTTTTAATTAGTAACCTGATTCAGGTTAACACTTTAAAAAGTAAATGTTGTTTAAAAACAACCACACTGAAACAAAACAGCTATATTTCCAGAGACATCTGAATTGATTCTTCAGTGTTCAAAATTACTTATTATAAAGTTTTGCTCATCTAGCCCAGCTCATGAAAGTGTCTAACACAAAGCAATAAGGTGTTACTAGTAGTTTATACAAAAAGTACTTTATTACTTCAGAAGTTTACACCTAAAGTACTAAAAATACATATACTACTTTAGAACGATTAAATAATTTCTGATAATAAGTATTCATAGTCTTTAATCATAAGGGAAAAATAACTGGAAATGAAGTAATTTATAATTAATTCCATTTAAACTGCAATTATTTTCTCCTCTTCTACAATGATCACATCATTGCTTCTTTATAAACATCAATATCTATAAAAATTTTAGCTTCTCAAATATACATCTTATCTTTCCCGACCTAATATAAGCTAAAAAATTACAACCGTTACTGACTGAGGTATTCTGAGTCGAACTCAATGGTTTAACCTTTGGTATGCATATATTGCCATGGGTCACTTGAGTTTGAAAAGTGGACTGTATGGGGTGTGCGTGCACACATATTTAAAAGCAAGATAGACTCCCACACTGACAATGACACAGAGGGTAACTCCAGGTTTTACTGCTACAGCAATCCTCAGGGGCCACTTAATGCTTACACTTAAAGGGAGATTTAAAAGAAATTAATATCACCTTAGGAATAAGGAAACCAGGACAAAAAGTTGTGATAAACTCAGTGAGAAAGGGCTGGGCCTACAGCCCAATAATCTGAATTTTATACCAATATTTATTTTTATAATTAAGTGTGCGTGACCTTGTTTTTTTCAATGCCATTATTTATTTGTGATTAAACAAAATTATGAGATATTTAAGAAAATGCATTGCACTAGGGCTGTTGGTTAGGGGTCACCTAGTTTCCACCTCGCCTTTTCTAAAGTAACAAATCCCTACCTTTTGGGGATTAACTATTACCCTTCACTGATGAGACTGCCACTCAAAATGACCATCCTGCCTTTCGCAAGGGCTGGGCTTAGGGTCCCTACTTGGTCAATGAGACTCCTTGTCCCACAGGCCACTGCATCTTGAGTGGACACAAAACTGGTTGGAGCTAAATGATTCCAGCTGCAGTACACAGAGGACATTATAATAGATCAACCATTAGGTTAACTCTTGCCATTGCATCACAGGTATTGCTACGGTCCTTTAGCTGCCCTCTCGACACTTCCTTCCACTGCTCCTTCCGTGTGGGGAACTACTCCGTAAGTGTCCAGGAAAGTTTCTTTGGCCTTAAGTTAGCCAGAAGCCGTTTCTGTTCTGTACTACACACACCTCCAACTGACAAAGTACTTTTCGAAAGATAAAGAATAATCAAGCAAATAAAAAAAGTTTTAGAAAAAAAGAAAATCAGAATGGTAATAGTGGCTAACTTTTATGGAGTGTTTACTATGTCATTCAAAGCTTCAGATATTTCAGAGGGCTACATTCATTAAGTCCTAATAAAGAAACACTAAGAAAGGCAGCTACTGTTGTGATCCCCATCTTACAGAGATGGAGGAGACAAGCAATGTGCTCCAGGCTGCATCAACGATGCAGTCTAGGCAGGAGTCACACACAGGCAATCTGAGTCCAGAGGACTGGAGCTGAAAGCTGTCTCTGAGCGGGAAGCAGGGAGAATCAAAAAGCATGTGCTGGGGGAGTCCTGTGCACTTGTTAGAAATGAGAAACAAAATTCTTATTTTTGTAGCAAAGGAAAAGAAGATTATTTACATGTTTCTTGGTCTCCTTACAATAAAGTAAGATATATGCTCAGAAGCAACATCAATATTTCTGATATTAACCTGAATAGAGAATAGTTTTATTAATCTAGTAAACAGGCTAAGCTTAGGAAACCTGGAAGTTTCATACCTAACATTTACTGATTGCTCATTTTGTGCCAAACTCTGTTACAAGTCCTTTAAAATTAACACCTCTAAATCTGCAAACCACCTTATCAGGAAGTACTCTGATTGGGACAAAAAAAAAAAACAACTAAGACACAAAGAAAAAGAAACTTGCCTAAGCTGACATGACAAGAAAGTTTCAGAGCTAGAACGTAGGCCGTCAGGTGCTCTGCCTCCAGTGTTAAAGCTCTCCGTAGCGACACACCACTCTAGTTCCAGAACTGTCAGTACTGGTGGTCCTAGGAGGGCCCACGGGGAACAACAGTCCATGCAGCTCTCTGTTTGCAAAGCCTAATACAAAATCGATTTTACACTACTAAAAATCAATGGCCCCTATTTCCTTAAGACAACACTCCAAGAATTTAAGTGCCACAAATTTAAGGTACTTTGAAGGACAATCAGATTACATTGCTGGTTAAATTCAAAATTGTGTGCTTTAAA